GTACAGATGATAAACTTGTTTATTTCTATTGTCCATTTCTATTGTCCAAAGGCTTGAAAACCATGCCAATGGATGGCATTGGCGTGGTTTTCAAGCCTTTGTGGTCTGTGAATGCATTGCCACAGAAACACCAATGCTAGGTTGATTCCTCACATCTGTTGAAGGCATTGCAGTAGCCATGTTTGGGCTGACGCAGCTTTCGTCACCGGTAACCAAGGGAGACTGTTGCCTATTTTTTGAACTGAGCCTCTGCCTAATCCACGAATGTGAACCTTGTTAACCCAGGTGACGTCCAAGCTGATATAGATTTAGCCAAGGATATTTAGATCTGGTAGTAACCAGATCTAAATATGATACCAGCTCTTCAATTTCTTTAATTACTTTTGATGTACCATCTTCTGCTGAACGTTTCAAGAAGGATGTTCAGCGGAAGATGCTATATCAAAAGTAATTAAAGATATTGAAAAAGGGAGGAACATAACGGCTGGACAATTGCTCTCAGTCTTGATATAGAAGGTGCTTTTGATAATGCATGGTGGACACTAATCCATGCTAAATTAGAGGAGGCAAATTGCCCAAACACTTTGTTTCGTCTTATATGTGATTATCTAACAAACAGAAAGGCATACATAGAATATGCAGACATAAAAATGAACAGGGACATGACTATGGGTTGTCCATACAGGGATCCTGTTCTGGACTCATTTTTTGGTCAATTATATTAAATGATCTCTTGAAAATCAATACATTATCAGAATCAAAAATAACAGCATTTGCTCATGATATAATGGTCATCTGCTCGGCAAAAAGCAGAAAACAAATAGAAATAAAATGCAAAAATATACTGGATAAAATAGAGAAATGGGGAAATGCAAAAAAACATTTTGTTTTTTGCAATTCCAGAGAAGTTTAATCCAGTTAAATTTAATCCAGAGAAGTCAAATGCCATAGCCTTTACAACATGCAAAGTGGCAAAAAGGCAACCTACAATTAAAATGCAAAATAAATTGATTAAATGTGTAAACCAAATCAACTATTTAGGAGTAACAATAAATAACAAACTTTTCTGGAATGAACACCTTTTTTTTATTTGTGGTTTTAGGCCCCTTATCACTCAGAGAGCACAAAAGGAATGAACACCTAGAAACAATTAAGAAAAAAGTGGGCAACCTATTTCAAGAAATAACAAAAGTAGCACGAAAAGAATGGAGTATAGGTGGAAGGGCTTTAACACATATTTATAAAGGTGCTGTAATCCCAATTGTCACATATGCTGCCCAAATTTGGGGAAAGAGGATGGAGTTGACACATATGAAACAGAAAATAAATAGCCTACAAAGAAAAATGCTATTAAGAATTACTGGAGCATACTGTATACTGTACTACATCACACGATGCACTCTGTGTACCGGTGGGCCTAATGCTTCTGGATTTGGAAATACGACAGCATAGTGACATAAGAAATATATTAAAAGAAAACAAAACTCAATGATTTATTGAAAAAAGAGGACGAGCTAGAAGCAGATATGAAACAACACAAAAATTATTAAGATATGAATGGGAAAAAATACATATAAAGAAATACAACTATCAGGGTAAATACAGAATCTATACAGACGGATCGAGATCCTCAGAAGGAGTGGGAGCGTCGTATGTTTATTACTATAGAAATAAGGAGCAGTATAATAAAAAAAATCAGGTTAGGTAAAAGATGCAGAAATTACCAAGCAGAATTGGTAGCAATGGATCATGCAATTAACTGGATAAGCCAAAGGAAGAAAAATATAAAAATTACTATTTGCACAGACAGCCAGGCTATATTAAAAGCTCTTAATGATGGTAACAATAAAATTGAACTAATAGATAATATAAGATGAAATATTGTGAAAAGTGATAATATACTTGTGTTCAGCTGGGTCAAAGCCCATTTTGGAGACCAAGGAAATAAAAGAGCGGACAGTCTGGCTAAAGATGCTAGTTATCTAAAAACAAAGGAATCTTACAGAAAAATATCTGCAAAATACAAAAAAACTTAAACTCAAAAATAGATACATATTACAGTGGCAATGACGATGGGAATTAAGTACAAAAGGAAGGGAACTCTTTGAATACATACCAGATATTAACCAGAGGTTAAATAACAAACATCTACAAATTGGACATAAATTTTCAAGATTCATGACAGGACGTGGAGATTTTGCAAAATATCATTATAGATTTAATCATCGAGATGATGAAAACTGTGAGATATGTGGGGTAAGTGAAACCCCCACACATCTTATTTGACTGTATGCAATATGAAAAAATAAGAAACAAACTAAAATTAGTTTGTAATAAAGAAGGTTACAATTGGCCTATTAGGAAAAATTATAAATATTATAATTTTTCCTAATTTNAAATATATAAAAATATTTATAACAATGTCTGAAATGTTATCAATTTAATACATCTAAGTACTCAATGAAGACTAAACGTAGTTGAAAACAAAAAATCACATCTAAAATAGTACAGTAGAAGCCATTCTTCAGGTTAAGCCTTAATGCTCTCTCTCTTCCCCCTGCGGGGGAATTTTGAAAAATCTCTTCTTAGTGTGTGTTTTCATGATGTACCATAACTGTGTACCAAATTTCACCTCTTTAGGTTCAGCGGTTTGCACTGGATGATGGACTGGATTGGTCAGTCAGTCAGGACAAGTAATTTTATATATTTAGATTACAAAATATAAAATCTACTAATAATATGGAAAATTTAAGCATTATTGGAATGAAACAGTAAAAGAATATTCTTTGAATTTCAGAAAATATTTTGTGATATGACATCTAGAGAAATGTTGAATTATCTAGTATACATCACTTAGTGATGGTCTTCACTGTAGAAAGCTTGCAGAAATGACATCATAGGATAGACTTTGGTTTTAAGTATAAGTTTTGTAAAGATAGATACATTTAGCTTCTTTCTTTATAACATTGTTATAATATTTAATGGTGATAATACTTTCCAATGTCTGCAGAACATTTACTTTAGGAAGGTTTTAAATTAGTAAATTTATTTGGTAATAATTTCAAATAAAAAAACAAGCAATTATTTATTGTGATATTGTCACAATGATATTCAATTTATTTAATTTAAAATATATGCTCTCCACCTCAAATTAGTACTGTAGTGTTTTGCCCTGTACATCATACTTTTCCACTAGCAATGGAGTTGTGTTGGTCATCTATCTAACTCCTTTCAGGGCAAAATTTTTAATTGAAATAACGTAACTCTTCCGGTCTGCATCGAAAGTTTGAATATAGGTAATCGGGCTTCCTTCCCCTAAGCTTTTCATATCTGGTCTTGAATTTCATTTATTTAATACCATTCTTGAGATTAAGAAAAGACAGATGACACTGGGAAATAAAGATACACCCTTCCGTTCATAATAAGAATTTCATTTTTCTTTTTTGTTACTTCTGACCAGGTTGTTTTTTAATTATTGATTCATCAACATTTACATTTTGTTGTAATTTTTATTTTATGTTCTATTTAAAGTATCCTGTTCAATTTGTTTGCTATTTAGAATTCAATTAAAATGAACTTTTTACAGCTGAAAAGATTAATATATAATATACTTTTGCAATAGGAATGTGAAAATACTGAAATTTGATGTTTTCGTAATGTCATATTCTTCACTGTGAGGACTGTGTTAAAATACAGTACGTCCACTGGCATATACCTCCCAATAGCAGTCAAACTTCTCGGTGTCCACTGTTTGGAGATTAGACTGTATAACTTTCTTAAAAATTTTGTCTTGCATTGTGTGAAAAAATTTAAGCAATAATATACATTTGAATAATTACACAAGTAATTGTGAGACTTGAAAGGCCCCTGGGTCTAAATTAATAATTTATTAATTATGTTAAATATTGCAGGCCTCAGAGTCGCTCACTTTTCTGAAGTATCCTCACTTTTCTCACTTTTCAGGTCATTTTCTCACTTTTTTGGTCATTTCCACGTGCTTAAAAATTAGGAAGATGTGGGACCAATCAAAAATAGTTTTAAAGCCAGACAATCTGCCGAATTATCGAACTATCGGACTAGAATTTTATGGAAAAAATACTCCGCCCGAGGGGGACTCAAGATCGCAACTGCCGCTCAGTGTTGTTAAGTTATCGTCTGTATTTATANTTGGGGAAATTTTTATATTGTCTACTTTCTCAGTAAACTATTAAATTATATATATATCGGAAATTTTTATAAAAATTCTTATTTTTATAAAAATTTCTGATGAATTTCGATAGTTATGTTAATAATAGTTTGATAGTTTTCTGGCAACATGCAGTGCAAAAACTCTCATCATTTTATTTCAATTACATAGTAACTGAAATATTTTCAGAATATGTTTAAAAAGTTCAGAACAGATGTTGTTTACTTGGGCATGCAAGGAAACAAAACAAACCAGAAGTATGAAAGGTACAGGATATTTTGGTGCTGGTGCTGCCATCTGGCATGATGAATATGGTCAATAAACATTTTTATATCAAAAAACAAATAAGTTATCTTTTATATTTTTTTCCTTTTTGTAATATTTCAGGCCTCGGAGTCGCTCACTTTTCTCACTTGTACTCACTTTTCTGAAGTATCCTCACTTTTCTCACTTTTCAGGTCATTTTCTCACTTTTTTGGTCATTTCCATGTGCTTAAAAATTAGGAAGATGTGGGACCAATCAAAAATAGTTTTAAAGCCAGACTATCTGCCGAATTATCGAACTATCAGATTAGAATTTTATGGAAAAAATACTCCACCCGAGCAGGACTCAAAATCGCAACTGCCGCTCAGTGTTGTTAGGTTATCGTCTGTATTTATACGTAACTAGGTAGTCAGTTAATTAAAACAAAAAATAATGATGAAATTTCAAAATATTTAACTTAAATTTAAAATTAAATTAAATTTTTAAAACTCTGTTCTTTATATCGAAACAAAAACCGAAATCATAGCTAAAATTTAAAATAAAATCAAAATTAGTTAATGTAAATTAAAATTGAAACATATTATTTGGGAAGGTGCGGATAAAGTACTTGTCGGTCTTGATTGATTTGGTTAGGTCTATATTTCATGCAGGCAGAGTTGAGAGTCTATTTATAGCACTTATTTGTAAAGGGTTAGTTTCGGTTTCGGCGGTGAGGGAACATCTGCAGGAAAAAGTTCCTCGTTATTTATGAAATCATTAATAAAATATTATTTTACTTATTCTATTTGAAATCTGTTTATTTCGGATTTATTAATTTATTTTTAAATCAATCTCGAAGCATTTTAAAAAATAAACAGTTTCCGATCGTGCTCATAAAAGTTTCGTTTTCTGCTTATTATCGTTTGATTTTGTTCGTAATAAGAGTTGTTAATTTTATTTCAAATTAATATAATAATCACATTACAAAAATGGAAAATTTATATACAAATAAAATTTTGAAATACGTTAAACTATTCAATTGTAAATATAGTTTGTGTAGATCTAAATAATTTACATTTAATGTTAATTTTTGACAAATTATATATATTTAAATGATCAAATAGAATTGGTAAAACATGCAAAAAGTAATTTTCTAAGTATTGCTTTATTTTATTGGTAATTTTTTTATTCTGTTCTATTTTTAACACGTGCAGAGAAGTGACCGATCACGTGGTCAACACGTGTTTACTCTCTTTCGATTGTGATCGACCAATAAAAATCTCTAGCGGAATGATACCGACAAACTGTTGGTTTATAGCAGGTTCCAAGTTAGAATATAGATGTAATGGTTTGAATCCACTCAATATGACGCTACCAAAGTGCAAATTCCGAACTGATTGGTTGAAACAAAAGGACAAGGCAGATTGTACAGTAGGATTATGGGCAACTGTACGTTCAGACACTGATGTATTTTGCAAAGTATGTAATTGCATAATACAAGTAAAAAAAGGTTTCCAAGCACTTTTTGATCATGGAGGTACTGTCAAACACAGACAAAAATTTACCTGTGCTTATGGTCCAAGACAGTTACACCTGACATTGGTTGCACCAGGTGATAGTTTTGCAGGCCCATCAAAAAATGATGAAATTCCAAGTAATACTGATAATGGGACTGGAGAAGGATTGGCAACTGTGAGTTTATATAATCCAAGAGATGCTGCATACCATGCAGAACTGATATGGGCCATGAAAACAATATGTAGTAATTTCTCATTTGCTGCTTCTAATAATATGGTTCCAACACTACAAGCAATGCTTCCAAAAACTAAACTTCCTGAAGGAATATCAATGAGTGAGAAGAAATTGCGCTATTTAATAACTGAAGCATTGGCTCCTTACTTCCAAAAAAAAATGCTAGAAGAAATCCACTCTTCATTCTTTACAATTAGTTATGATGAAACCAGCAATGTGGAAAGTAAGAAAGAGTTACAGATAATGATTAGGTTTTGGTCTGAGCAAAAAGAACAAGTTGTCTGCAGACACCTAAATACATGTTTTCTTGGACGGGCAGATGCAGAAACACTGCATACATACATTATCAAAGCTATCGATGATTCCAACCTGTCACTACACAAACTTTTGATGATAGGATTCTAATCAGAAACTAACAGAACAGGACACATGTTCTGTTAGTTTGGCCTGTTGGAATCCTAAATACTTTTAGAATATTGAATCTTCCATAGATTCAATAATGTCTCCATTTCCAAGTTCTTCTTTCTTCAGGACTCCTTTTTCTATGTGAAGTGTTTTGCATTTGTCTAGGCCAAACTCCATTTGTATGTCCTTGGAGTATGAATGTGTGATTTGTGGGAGTTGATAAAGTTGTTTTTGTGTGGATAAATAAAATTTTATGCTGTCTATGTATATGAGATGTGACAGCGTAAACTGTGTTGTTTTTTCATGTCTGATATTGTAACTATATTGCTTGTTGTTTAACATGTTAGATAATGGGTTCAGGGCTAGGCAGAACCAGAGAGGACTCAGGGAATCTCCTTGAAAAATTCCTCACCTAATGAATATTTCATTTGTTTGTATGGAAGTGTTATGAGTCCTGAGATGTAGGTTGTTCTCCAGTGCTGCATAGTGTTTTGGAAGAATGCAATGAGTGATGGGTGTATTTTGTATGTGTGTAGAATATATAGCAGCCAACTGCTATATATTCTACACACTGTATCACAAAGTGTGTGGAACACTGTCGAATGCTTTTCTGTAGTCTATATATGCCATGTATATGTTTCTATGTTGTTTGTGGAATGACTGAATCTATGAGTAACTGTTCTTTGCATCCCCTGTTATTACTACAGCAACCTTTTTGTTGTTCCGTAAGAATGTCGTGTTCTTCATGTTTGTATATTTTCTTTGTGATACAGGCTGTCAATAATTTGTAGTGTGTTGGGAGACATGTAATTGGTCTGTATTGTGTGGTGTCTGTGGTTTTTAGGTTTCATGTAAGTGATGCCCTGAGTAAGAAATTTTGGCATGTCTTGTGGATTGATGATGTGTGTTAGATGTTTAGCTAGTTCCTGGTGCAGCAATATAAACTTTTTGTACCAGAAATTATGAATGTCTTCTACACCAGGTGTCTTCCAGTTGTGTGTTCTGTTAACGGCGTAGCGGATGTCGTGTATGTTTATTTCAGCACAGGGGATAGTTGGTATGTTGTGCAAGTTTCCCTTCTCCTCCTTGATCCAGCCTGCATCAGCATTGTATGTAACTGCACTGGACCAAAGAGAAGACCAATAATTTGAGAGTTCTTCTGTTGGTGTGCCACTATGCTGCGTATCAGTGTCTGTAGAAAAGCTTTTCATTGTTTGTGAACAATTTATTTTGTTGTTTTCGTAGCGTACATTGTTTTGTATCGTTTGATTCTATGTGCTTTGGCTGTGAGTTTCTGTTTTAGTGTATCAATGAATTCTGTAATGTGTGTGTTTTGATTTTCTTGAAAATGTTTTTGAGTTGTTTCTTTAATTTGTGTGTTATGTTGTTTTTAGTGTATTGTGTCAGCCTGCCTAATTGCTGTCTGATGTCATTTATTTGTGTTTCTATTCTTCTCTGCCAGGCAGGCTTGTGATAGATTTGTGTTCTGTGTGTATCTGTCTGTGATTGTATTTTCAGTCCATGTGTGTCACTACTGTGACTGCCCCAGCATAAACTAGTGTATGAATGTCTGAGAGTGTAGAAATTGAATGGATGTAGTGTGGTAGTAAGCGAATGTTTACATAATTTAGTGTTTTCTCTACTACCTTTGATGTGTTGATTTTTGGTATTTGTGGTCTTTGTGTGGGATCTGTGCCTGTGTATATAGTGAATGTGTCCTGAAATAAAAGTGAGAGCGTATTAACTAAATCTATGTCTATGTTATTAGTGGTGGATGAGGAAGTGTTTGTATTATCATTAGTGGTAGTTGATGTATGTGTACTATAATCAGTGCTTGTTGCTGGATTATCCTGACAGGTTACATGATCTTCATTAATGTTAAATGTTTCTGTCTGTTGATGTATTTGATCAGCAACCTGTTGTTTGATAAGTTCAGCAGCAATTCCTAACCTGGGGTAAGCAATAGGTTGTTTAGGGGTATAGAAAAAAGTTAATTATTATGGCAGAAAAAATGATATATTATGTATCCCAAATTAATAGCATTAAAAAATTATTAGGTAAAAAATGTTCCTTGCAACAGTCACAAACTTTATTATACATTTCAAAATGAAAAAATAGAAATAAAAACTTATGCTGCCAATTGTACAATGCAACAGATCAATAAATGTTGCGCAGTCGGTCAATGGTAGTGGGGATACCACTGTGTGATTAGTGATTATGCTATGGACTTTTGATGGTGGGGTGTGTTACTGTTGTTATTGTTATCTCTGAACAATATCCATTTGTGTTGTTTGAAAAAAGTATTTTTTTGTTTATAAAAAGTATTTTTTATTGTTAGTAAGGAAAAGGATATATCTAGTTTCTCCAGATTTTCTCTACAAGCAGTAATTTTTTTCATTATTTATTCAGTATTTTTATTAATTTTTTATTGACAAAACTGTCTTGTTTATAAAGTTGTACTGCCTGCTGTGTTACCAGCTTAGAGGTATGAAGGAGTACATGTCAAAAGTTGCAATTTGGCACAAATTATTAGGTGCCCAAATCATGCGCACGTAAAAAGAACCAGACTTGTAGGTACTTGGGAGACCGAGAACCGAGTCAAAATAAAATTCAAAATGGTGACATTCTCTACAAACAGGCAGTGTGAGATTTGCACATGCGTTGCTTGTTGGGAAGTTGGAAATGCCATAGGGGTACGCTAATGAAAAAAGGTTGGGAACCGCTGAGTTTGAGTATTGTTTGTGGGATAAGGTTGTTGTGTATAATTTTCTTTTTTGATCAAGAACCCATTGTTCAGTGACAGTGAGGTAAAGATATTGTTGTGTGAATCTATGGTATAGTTGTTGTCTGTACACTGTCATGTTTGTTTCGAGTTTTGTGATGGTGTAGTAGGTACAGATGATAAACTTGTTTATTTCTATTGTCCATTTCTATTGTCCAAAGGCTTGAAAACCATGCCAATGGATGGCATTGGCGTGGTTTTCAAGCCTTTGTGGTCTGTGAATGCATTGCCACAGAAACACCAATGCTAGGTTGATTCCTCACATCTGTTGAAGGCATTGCAGTAGCCATGTTTGGGCTGACGCAGCTTTCGTCACCGGTAATCAAGGGAGACTGTTGCCTATTTTTTGAACTGAGCCTCTGCCTAATCCACGAATGTGAACCTTGTTAACCCAGGTGACGTCCAAGCTGATATAGATTTAGCCAAGGATATTTAGATCTGGTAGTAACCAGATCTAAATATGATACCAGCTCTTCAATTTCTTTAATTACTTTTGATGTACCATCTTCTGCTGAACGTTTCAAGAAGGATGTTCAGCGGAAGATGCTATATCAAAAGTAATTAAAGATATTGAAAAAGGGAGGAACATAACGGCTGGACAATTGCTCTCAGTCTTGATATAGAAGGTGCTTTTGATAATGCATGGTGGACACTAATCCATGCTAAATTAGAGGAGGCAAATTGCCCAAACACTTTGTTTCGTCTTATATGTGATTATCTAACAAACAGAAAGGCATACATAGAATATGCAGACATAAAAATGAACAGGGACATGACTATGGGTTGTCCATACAGGGATCCTGTTCTGGACTCATTTTTTGGTCAATTATATTAAATGATCTCTTGAAAATCAATACATTATCAGAATCAAAAATAACAGCATTTGCTCATGATATAATGGTCATCTGCTCGGCAAAAAGCAGAAAACAAATAGAAATAAAATGCAAAAATATACTGGATAAAATAGAGAAATGGGGAAATGCAAAAAAACATTTTGTTTTTTGCAATTCCAGAGAAGTTTAATCCAGTTAAATTTAATCCAGAGAAGTCAAATGCCATAGCCTTTACAACATGCAAAGTGGCAAAAAGGCAACCTACAATTAAAATGCAAAATAAATTGATTAAATGTGTAAACCAAATCAACTATTTAGGAGTAACAATAAATAAACTTTTCTGGAATGAACACCTTTTTTTTATTTGTGGTTTTAGGCCCCTTATCACTCAGAGAGCACAAAAGGAATGAACACCTAGAAACAATTAAGAAAAAAGTGGGCAACCTATTTCAAGAAATAACAAAAGTAGCACGAAAAGAATGGAGTATAGGTGGAAGGGCTTTAACACATATTTATAAAGGTGCTGTAATCCCAATTGTCACATATGCTGCCCAAATTTGGGGAAAGAGGATGGAGTTGACACATATGAAACAGAAAATAAATAGCCTACAAAGAAAAATGCTATTAAGAATTACTGGAGCATACTGTATACTGTACTACATCACACGATGCACTCTGTGTACCGGTGGGCCTAATGCTTCTGGATTTGGAAATACGACAGCATAGTGACATAAGAAATATATTAAAAGAAAACAAAACTCAATGATTTATTGAAAAAAGAGGACGAGCTAGAAGCAGATATGAAACAACACAAAAATTATTAAGATATGAATGGGAAAAAATACATATAAAGAAATACAACTATCAGGGTAAATACAGAATCTATACAGACGGATCGAGATCCTCAGAAGGAGTGGGAGCGTCGTATGTTTATTACTATAGAAATAAGGAGCAGTATAATAAAAAAAATCAGGTTAGGTAAAAGATGCAGAAATTACCAAGCAGAATTGGTAGCAATGGATCATGCAATTAACTGGATAAGCCAAAGGAAGAAAAATATAAAAATTACTATTTGCACAGACAGCCAGGCTATATTAAAAGCTCTTAATGATGGTAACAATAAAATTGAACTAATAGATAATATAAGATGAAATATTGTGAAAAGTGATAATATACTTGTGTTCAGCTGGGTCAAAGCCCATTTTGGAGACCAAGGAAATAAAAGAGCGGACAGTCTGGCTAAAGATGCTAGTTATCTAAAAACAAAGGAATCTTACAGAAAAATATCTGCAAAATACAAAAAAACTTAAACTCAAAAATAGATACATATTACAGTGGCAATGACGATGGGAATTAAGTACAAAAGGAAGGGAACTCTTTGAATACATACCAGATATTAACCAGAGGTTAAATAACAAACATCTACAAATTGGACATAAATTTTCAAGATTCATGACAGGACGTGGAGATTTTGCAAAATATCATTATAGATTTAATCATCGAGATGATGAAAACTGTGAGATATGTGGGGTAAGTGAAACCCCCACACATCTTATTTGACTGTATGCAATATGAAAAAATAAGAAACAAACTAAAATTAGTTTGTAATAAAGAAGGTTACAATTGGCCTATTAGGAAAAATTATAAATATTATAATTTTTCCTAATTTATATTTTTATATTATTTTTATAGTATTATAAATAATGTTAACATATATTATTATTTCAATGAATTTATAAAAACTTGTTATAAAAACAGAACATCAAAATTTCTGTCATAGATCATTGTCAAACTAATGATATCAAATACTTTATTTAACAAAACAATATAATTAATGTAAATAAAAATAGAATTGTCAGGTATTAATGTATTGCGGCTCGACCACAACTATGTAATCATAACTACCTGCAAAGTATATGCGAAGCAGGGTTAATTAAAAGAGGAGTAACTCAAGCCAGTAGCATTTAATGCTGCAGGTCAGAGGGGGTGCTCCACTAAATGTAAAAAAAAAAAAAAAATCCATGATACCATGATAAATATCTCCACAGAATGTGTTTGTGGTCACTCTTAGCTTCATTTCTCCACATAGACCTTACTGGCATGGGTGTCCCTACCAGGAGCTTGTGCTCCAGTCTGCATTGCTCTATGGATCAATAAAATTACTGGGCTCTCTTTCCAGGAACAGGTGGTGACCATGGGAGAGTTATTATTATTATTACTACTACTACAGTACTACTATAATTATTATTTCATCATTTTATTCTTTCCAAGACCAATCATATAAAAATGGAGTTTTTTCCTCACCAGTTCAATAAGGTTTTTGTGGCAAGCCACCATAACTTTTGAACAGAAATGTTTCTTATTGACTGTTATTTGATGATATCTGTCCATAAGTGTGATTTTGTTGTCCATAAATGGGTTTTTGCTATGCAACAGTATACATGAATCCATTTTACTGGATATAATTTGTATAGTGAAAACTAGCCTTTATAGCACTATGGTACTAAAAGAAAAACATTTCATTTTATCACCCATGGACAATTAAGTGAGGATTTATGGTATTATTATTTTCTGTGCAGAGATGGTTTTCCTGATAACATATTTTTACCAGACATGAATGTAGAGCTCTTCTGAATGAATTCAATTGTATTATTTATTACTGCTTTTGAACCTTTAGACACATTTTGTTGGATTTTTCTATAGGAAACTTGTAAATTTTTGTATTGCAAATGTACTCTTGCAGGAAAAAGGAATAATATCACAATTTTAGTCTAACAGTGCTAATTTCACTAATATGCTCAATGAAGAATTGCTAAATCTACAGATATCTATACTGAAGTGTTAGAAATATACAAATCAGCATTGATAGGCAAATTGAAAACTTCAAGGGTTAATAGACTATATCCAATGCTTGGAAGACATGGTATGAAGTTACATAACCAATGAACATATGCATAGCCTCTCATTACCATAATGGGTCTTATATTGATACCTGTGGTTTAAATTAGATTTAGGTTTGAATCAATGCAATATAAAATTGAGTTAAAAGAACATTTTTTAGGCTCTAATCAGAACTCTTTATGATGTTTATGTAGGTTCAAATCAAATTTGTGATTTGAATTGCATTTCCATTAAAGCTTCAATGCATACTATACCCGAAAAAGATCTTTTTGCAAGGTTGGAAATGTTTAAGTTTAATAAAGTAATTTTGCTGGAATAAAGTATTGCTATAGATATTTTCTTAGATATAGGAAATTTTAAAGTATGAAGAGAACAAGTTTTTGAAAATTTAAGGGAATTTTAAACACTTGAAAAAGTTATAAAATAAATTGGTACTTTTATGTTTTGACAGACTATTGCATTACACCATAAAATTAATAATATATTAATGTAACTAAAATGTCCAAGAGCTTTTATATCAGAATGCTTATAACAGTGATCTGGCCTGTATAAATTTACATTATGGTTTTCTTATCCATATCATTAAAAATTTAGAAGTTTGGAGCTGACACTCATCAAACAAACTAGACTTATCAAAATAGTTCAAGAACATTTTTCAAAAATTCCTGGAACAAAAATAAAGCAATTACTTGAGAAATTTGAAAATATATTTGAAAACAGATGTTAGATAAAAACTTCACTACAGTGTAATGCAGTAATATGGGGAGATGAAAGGTTAAATACAGATTCAAACATTGTTACTGCTTTTAAATACACATCTCTAACAATAATTGACGTTTTGAGATCATTTTTATTATATATTGTTACTGAAAAATGTAATAGAATTCTGAAAAAAGTGCTGATTTTATAGTTGTTCACTATAATAATAATGTTAAATAAATTATAAAAAGATATAGGTATTAATCCTATATACAGTTACATAATACTGTCTAATATTATAAAAATATAATTTCTAAAAATAAAAGATTATCTTTAGATAAAATAAACGAGTAAATATAAAACAGTCTTTCTTATATTTACTCGTTTATTTTATCTAAAGATAATCTTTTATTTTTAGAAATTATATTTTTAGAAATTTCACTGATCCCATTGTTTTATATTTTTACTGTCTAATATTATGTAACTAGCATAACTAGAACCAATATTAGGAGAGAACCAAGTTAGAATGTGCAACCTTGCATTCACCCCTGTACCACTGTGGCTATACCACTAGCATCTGTAATGGAGCATTTAGATATATGTATAAGTTTAAATGCATTTAAATGTTCAAATTTTTTTTCCCTATACTTATTTGATTTTTCCTTCTTTATTTATTTACAAAGGTAAGGGTGGCCACGGCCCTCTGGGATCTTTCTTAGTTCTGTTCTTTGAGTGGAAGGTATGGGAGATGGCACTGCACTGTTTAACAATGCAGGGCTCCTGTTTAAGAGTGCTGGAAACAATGCAGTACAATTGTTGAGTATTAGTGGCATGCATCTGCTCTAATAGAGCCATTTTTATTTTGTATACTGTTTTGATCAGTGCTGATTTTGATAAAAACATTAATTTTAATCATGTATAATAACTTATATAATTACTATAAAAAAATTGTGATATTATTTTGTGATTATTTTTTTATTTTGAGGTGCTGCAGTTCCACAGTACTTATGATGAGCTGCTACTGTATAATACTTTATTATTTTAAAAATACAATGGGTAGTAAATTAAAACAGTAATTTAAATATCAAACAAACAGCTGAATTCTTTATTGAGCTACTTACGGATAATTAATTAAGTAATTTGACTAGACATGGGCCAGTTCAGCAGCCACCTCATATTAAATTTAATAATTTGAAATAAATAACTTTAATTTAAAATGTTATGGAAGAAAAGATCAGTTTTACAACTCCTGCTTACCTGAAGCCAAATTACTTCATAATTTGTTAACCTAAGTACCCCAGTAAAGAATGTGGCTGTTCATTTCATATTTAAATTAATTAGTGAGTTGGGCTGTATATGTTATTAAATAAAAATATATTTTTGAATTTTCTACTTTTGAAATTTTTACTGCTACTTTTTATAGCTAAAAAATTTGATCTCTAGTTATAACCATGAATAGTTACATAAAAATAATTGAAAACAAATTGAAAATTTGCTCATAATAATTGTGAACTCATTATAATTGTGATTATTAAAACTGAGTTTGACAGTACAGTAGAGCGTCGATTTTCCGAAAGTCAATCATCCAAAAGAATTTCAGTCCGCAAATTCAAATTTTCGCCAGTGCTGTGGCACTTCAATCTTTGGCTATGTCTTGGGCTACTCAATTATTTTATGTTTTTGATACTAAATTAACATCTGAAGTATAATTTTTTATTGTTTTTATATTTTTCAATATATTTATTTTGTTTGTACAAAATAAAAAAATAATTTTTAACGATACAATAGTCTTCGTTAGGTTTATAACATCGACAAAAATTCAACGCGAAGCGACATGCAACGGAGAAAAATTTTGACATCGGATACGTTAAACTATTTTTTCGTACGTAAATCAGTTATCCGAAATATCAGTTATCCGGACAACCCCAGTCCCCAATTGATTCGGAAAATCGACGCTCTACTGTATTTCCTTTTAATTTTATATAATAATTTGAAAAAAGTGTTGGATTCCTGATAATATCAAAATTAACAAGCTTGCAAAAGTCAAATTATTTGCTTTTTGTCAGGGAAAAAATGTCATTGTAAGAAGAACATAATATATACGTGTTGTTTACTATAAACCTTTATTGCATTTTACCTTAAAAAACACTTAAATTTTAATTTCACTCTTAAAAGAACAGTTTGCAATATATACTTTTATCAAAAATTATTAATTTGAAGTTATCAGAAATAAAATACTTATTGAGTATGATGAGTTCATAAGGTTATTAGAATAAAATTTCATCTGTTATGAGGAGAAGTAAGCTTAGATAGTTTTAATGTAGTGCTACTAATTTTCTAATTATTAATAAAAATAAATAGAATTTGTAATTGGTATTACTAATTATTAAGGAATACCAATAACCTTTAACAGTTAAATTTATAAATAACAAAATATTTTCTTCCTTTCTTTCTAAACCATCTACAGATATGACTTATATTTGGATGAAAGTTATAATCAGGCAAGTACATGCTGTAAACAGAACAGTTGCAGAACAGACATATAATATTTGTTTTACGCTTGTGATTGTTACAATTATGAATATTTTGAAAGTATTTGAATTTGTGTTGAATATGCATTTAAATATAAATTATAAAAATATTCTAATTTATATTTTATTTCTTATATAGTTATGGTATTTTGTGCACTTGTAATTTACACTATGGTAGTGATTGGAATTCTGATGCTTCTTCAAAGTTTTACAAAGTGGGAAGGTTGCACGATTAATAAAATCTTTATTGGCGTCAACAGTGGACTTTGTTTACTTTGTTCATTTATTTCAGTACTTCCTGTTGTAGAAAAAAGTAAGTTTGTTATTGAATGATCATTAGTTTTTTATTTAAAAAAAGTCTCTCAAGTTTAAATACATATTGATTAATGACATTCAGTGTTCTCCCCAGAAATTTGTACTAGTAGAGTGGAATAAAGTAGTACAGTAGAGCATCGTTTATCCGAATCAACTGGGGACGGGTTGTTTGGATAACTTATTTTTCGGATAACCGATTATGTACGAAAAAATATATTCACCTATCCCGTGTTGAAATTTTTCTCCGTTGCGTGTCGCTTTGCATTGAACTTTCGTCGATGTTAAGCCTAACATAAACTTTTTAAAATAATAATTGTGGCTATTGTATCATTAAAAATTATTTCTTTATTTTTTACAAACAAAACAAATATATTGAAAAATATAAAAACAAAAAAAAAATTATACTTTAGAAGTTATTCTGGTATCAAAAATGTTTGATTCAGCAGGACACAGTCCTCAGAAAAACGTCATACAAAAGTGCTGCCAGCTAAAACACATACATTAACAAAAAAAATATTGGAGTAGCCCAAGATATAGCCAAAGATTACAGTGCCACAGCACTAGTAAAAATTTAAATTTGCCGACTGGAATGCTTTCGGTTAATCGACATTTTGGATAACCAGCTTTCGGATAAACGATGCTCTACTGTAAAGTGGACAAAAAAAGGAAACAAAAATAACGTAACCAACACCTTGTTGCTTGCTGAGGGAGTTTTATTAAAATCGAACGTTTTCGATCCACTTAACGGATCATCATCAGGCATATGGAATACATCATAAATGGAATAATAAGTTCAAAAATTCAAAATATCAATAAACTGATAACATATCAATTAATAAAAATAAAAAATAAAAATAATAAATAAAAAATAATAAATTGTAAACGATACCAAATAATAAATAATATACTACAACGACTACACATTAATACTAAGTTTCCTTTAAATCAAATAATTATCATATTTCAGTTGTTGCGCTACTTGTAAGCTTCTTAACGGCAAATTTCCAAGCCGAGGGAAGACCCTCCGCATCCCTAGCATTAATGCAACTGTCCTTAAGTTTGCTCCTATATATCTCCATTTTTTCGGCCGTCTTCGCCAAAGTTGGTGAGTGTACTTGTCTCACGACTTCCGCTTCCTCCCATCCAATCNGTGTTTACAAGATTCCCTACGAGAACCAGCTATTAGGAATAAAAAAAGATTACGTAGGAGTTACTACCAGAAACCTCGGGGTAAGGATTAGGGAACATAAGTATGATGCTAGAAAAGGGTCTAATACAACAATATTGGCCCAGATGGCGCAGGCCCAAGGATCCCTGATTGGATGGGAGGAAGCGGAAGTCGTGAGACAAGTACACTCACCAACTTTGGCGAAGACGGCCGAAAAAATGGAGATATATAGGAGCAAACTTAAGGACAGTTGCATTAATGCTAGGGATGCGGAGGGTCTTCCCTCGGCTTGGAAATTTGCCGTTAAGAAGCTTACAAGTAGCGCAACAACTGAAATATGATAATTATTTGATTTAAAGGAAACTTAGTATTAATGTGTAGTCGTTGTAGTATATTATTTATTATTTGGTATCGTTTACAATTTATTATTTTTTATTTATTATTTTTATTTTTTATTTTTATTAATTGATATGTTATCAGTTTATTGATATTTTGAATTTTTGAACTTATTATTCCATTTATGATGTATTCCATTTATGATGTATTCCATATGCCTGATGATGATCCGTTAAGTGGATAGAAAACGTTCGATTTTAATAAAACTCCCTCAGCAAGCAACAAGGTGTTGGTTACGTTATTTGTTTATTTTTGCTGGGTACGATTGTATTCAATATTAGCATGGAAACAAAAATACTATGCACCATTGTAAAAATGATCAATATACTCATTAGCTTCATCTAAATGATTTCTGCTCTTGTCATACAGCTATGTCTTATCAATTTTAACTGCTAGTGGTTTCCAATATTATGTTCAGGTGCATATTCACAGAATACACTCCTAAACTTAATATTGGATCATTGAATTATCAGTAGAATCCCTACACACTTACAAACTAAGGATTATGGAATTTTCAAGAAATATCTAATAAATATATAGTAGTTATAACATATAAACTTATAATAATAATGATATTGTAAGACATTTCATCACCATCATACAAATCATCAGATTACTTTTAGGTTCACAACTTACATCTATATATATAAAATTGCTTGTCCTGACTGACTGACTCACTCACTGATTCATCATTGCCCAGAGCAAACCGCTGAATCTAAAGAGGTGAAATTTGGTACACAGTTAGGGTACGTCATAAAAACGCACACTAAGAAGGGATTTTTCAAAATTCCCCCGCGAGGGGAGAGGGAGAGCATTAAGGCTTAACCTGAAGAACGGCTTCTGCGGTACTATTTTAGATGTGATTTTTTGCTTTTAACTGCGTTTTAGTAGGGTATGCCATGGCAATGCACACAAAAATGGGATTTTTCAAAATTCCCCAGCAGGGGGAGAGGGAGAGCATTAAGGCTTAACCTGAAAAACGACTTTTGAAATTGATTCCATACTTTCCCTTAAATTGATAACATTTCAGACATTGTTATAAATATCTTCATATATTTTGATTTTTTACCCAAATGTTCAAACCATTTTAAATTTGAATTTGTTATTGCGTATTGGTTCGATTATAGAACGATTGTAAACGTTCCAGAAAATTGATCAAATTGAAAATAGCTCATTTGATTCACAGCAATTCTCATCATTCTCGGTGGTAGGTGTTATATAACAATTACTATGGTTGTTGGAATACTGAATATAAATGGGGTTTGCTTGCAAAACCTCCGCGGGCGAAGTTGCGGGTAACAGCTAGTTTAAGTATAAATCTAATAGTTATTGTAGCTATTTCTTTTATGAGTGTTTTTATTTTTCCTATTTAGTGATATGCAATGCTAAAAATTCAATTAGAAACAAAATGCTTAAGACTCAGAAAATATCACACAGTAGAAAGTGTTAAAATAGTACTTTTTTAAGATTTTCAATCAAGATCAGAGTTGGTAAAATTTTACTGACTCTGACTCCTTAGCATTGCTATTACTTATAATAATAATAATAATAATCAGCAAAAAATAACCAAAAGGATCACATGGCTGAAACCACTTATAGTGTCCCAGAAAATAAATGTATTGATATTTTTAACAAACAAATAAGCACAAAACATACACACACACACACACACACAAAAATAACATACATACTAAATATATATATGATGATTATAAAAACATATATATTCAATTAAATACAAACAATCAAGAACAGTTGAAGATAACAGATTAGGTGAAAATTATAATTTATTTTTTAAATAAATTATAATTAATTAATATTATTAATAAATTATAATTTTATTTTTTATTTGTTATAATTTTAATTCTATATCACCACCATTATATTCAACCATTATCAATCCACTGCTGGATGAAGGTTTTCTCTAAACTTTTCCATTTTTTCCTGTCTAGTGCTTTAGTTTTCCAATTTAATCCACCCACTTCTTTTATTTTGTCACTCCACTGCACCTGAGGTCTTTGTTTTGGTGCTTGACTTCTTGTGGATACCAGTCTAAGATTTTTGAAGTAGAGTGGTAGCGAAGCTTCTTCTATGAGGGTTACAGAATTCTATTGGTTCTCAAAATCCGTTTGATAGATTTTGCTTAAACTTTGCCATTTTCCATTAATTGCAATGAAGAATACAAAAATACAATAAAAAATGGGGGGTCCATGAGTTCATTTTCAAGATATAAGATTGTTTCATGAGTGTGCATGACAGAGCGATATTGCACAAATCATGCAACTTTCGTGTGATGTTTCACGGTCACTAGTATGTCTTCTATGGGGTTATAGAATCAAGTTCTTTCTTAGAATTTAATGGGCTGATTTTGAAAAAACTTTGCTATTTTCCATTAATTGACACAAGGAATCCAGAAATGTAATGTGGGTTCATTTAAATGTAAAAAAATTTATCAATGAATTGCTTAACTTTCCTGGCAATCTTTAAAATTTTGGTGGTGCCATCTGTTATGATATTTCATTTAAAAAAATGTTTACATTTTTAATTATTATAAAATGACAAAAAAACTTCATTTTGAGGGTTGGGATGGGTTTTACAAAAGATTGTAAATGCCAATAACGAGTAAAATTGTCATTAAGTTCAACCCTACTTGAGATATGACACACGATCCCCTTTATCTCCCCATTCCCTCGACCTTTAATCCCAAAATTTAATAACATCAATTCCCCTAATAAACAAACCAACCTGCAAAATTTCAGAAATTTTCAAAAGCACAGAAGCTACTAAGCTTCAAAGAAGACGAACAAAATTGTGCCGCCACACACATGCACATGCATATTAACATCCATACATACAGAAAAAATCCTGACTATTTTTGCATTTCTTGATGTTTGAAGATCCCCCAAGTCCAAAAATGAAAAATCTTTGTGGGGGTCATTTTTTATTTTCTGAATTACCATACTTTCCCTCTGTTATATATAACAGAGCCAGGAAAGTAAAAAATAGGAGCACCCGACTTTGTTTTCAAAATACAAAAGTATTACAGGGACAATGTCATGCTCTCTGAATGCACCTAATAGAATTTAGACCTAGAGGTCAAAAATAAAAACAGTATTGGTGTGTCAAACAGAAAATAGGCATGAAAAATGAGCAAAATACAAGAACGAATTGATGGCAATTGCTTTGTTAATTTACAAATACCTTTAATTCTATTTTTGATGATAGTTCGTATTTTTCACACTGATTAATGTATTTTTGTTGTAATTTTATTTTATTCTTAAGTTTCCTTTGAATTTTATTATTATTATTATTATTATTATTATTAATAAATTCTACTTCTAATTTCATATTATCATGTTTCAGTTGTGTCATCTTCTTCAATTAGAGCCAATTTATTTAATATTTTATCTATTGTATTTTTATATTTGTTAAAT